ACCATCTCCTATCCCACATGATAAGAACACCTCCTGAAGTCCCAACAGCATCCAGCGCCTCCCACTCAACAAATCGGTTACCCCACAAACTTTTCACCACACGATCAGACATAGAATCAACCTTAGTTTCTTGAAGACACCAAATGCACCCCCTATTTCCTTACTGCCATCTTCACCACCCTTTGCTTGCCCGGGTCATTTAGACCACAGACATTCCACGATAAAATTCGAAGCTTCATGAGGAAACCATCACCCCCTTCACCCTCCCTCCTCCCTTAGCATTACCCCTCACCTTCTCCCCCCCCAATAACTCTATCATAATTCACATCACAACACAGATTCCTTAACTCCCTTTCCCCTTTCCCCGGAGTAAGGTTCTTTTTCTTCCTACTTCTCCTTCTTCTGGAAAATTGAATCATCTCCCCTTCTCTCCCCTCTGCTGTGGCCTGAAGGATTGCTAAGGCCTGATCACGGTTGACGTTGCAAGAGACACCCAACAGATCACTAGTAACAACCTTGACCCATTCCATTCCAGTGTCCTCACCTTCCTGCCTACACACCTTACTGCCCAACTCCTCTGGATGAACCACTGCCAAAGGGTCAACCACCCCCAAATTAGCAAGGCCCTCTTCCTCCCACACAATCAAATCAAGAGAATTGCCCTGTTCCAACCTGCTCCCATCTGTCACACCTCCCTTGGCCTCTAATGCCTCCTCAATAGGTGACATCCAATCCTCTCCATAATCCAAAACTCCATTCTGGGTGAACGGGACCGGGTTACCATCAACAGTTTGATCATCATGCGAAAATCTATGCTTCTGTAACTCCTTCACCAAAAGGGAAGCTGATTCCTCACTGAGAGAAATTCGGATATCTTTACCCACACAAACAGTCACCACATCAGGCACAAGACCCTTCAAACAAGCCACTGGATCTCCTTTAAAGGATAAACACAGCACTTCCGAACCACCCAAAAGAGACTTGACCGGCCTACCCATCTCCTCCCCTGAAGAATCATCCCGAGAAAACTCCGAACAAGTCTCAGCAATCCTGACACAAAAACGATCAAAATCCCTGTCACCAGACAAGCTAACCGTCCCATCCCTTTCTGACGGCCCAACAATCCCAAACTCCGAGCCAACCATAGAGCTCAACCTTTCCACCGTGTCAACCTCAAGAACAGGCGATAACACATGCTGTCTCCCGTCAAGAACCTCCCCCCCTTACTACTCAACAACTCACAAGAAGGAGTAGAAGCAGAGATAGAAGCAGATGAAGAATTTCGATCTCGAAACGGGACTGACATACCTGAACACGAATGAGGATCCTTACGAGCTACCCACTTCTGTTTGTCATTCTTAGTCCATTTCTTACTAGGTTGCTTAGAGAAACTCCGAGAGGGACCATCCTTCTTCATGGAGACACAGTCGCCTTTCTCGTCATCACCCAAAAACCGAGACTGAAGAAACTCAAATCTGTTACCCGAGAGCCGGTTCTAACAACACGACCCATGCCTGAAGTCTTCGGACAAGCCCCAACCCCTTTCGTCATACTCGAACTCACCTTCACCCAATTCGCCTTCTCCTTCCTCGACCAAAAACGTGAGGTCGATCTTCTCTGTGACGTGTCCAAAGCAAGTTCTAGAATGTCAAGGTTTTGAGCCGCTTCTAAAGATGGGTTGGGCTGCCCACCTTGAAAGGAAATTGAGAGATGATTGTTTGGGCCCCATTTAACCATCCTATCCTTAGCCAATCTTGGCTTCACCTGAGCTGGTCCAGAAGAAAAAAGAGGCCCAGAACGCTTAGATCGTTCATCCCGCTTAACGGACTTAGTAAAACGCCTCGGCCCAGAGAATGGCCCAGACCCACCCTGCTCATAATAGTCCTTCCCAGTCACTTTCGAGCCCACAGCATGAGCCCCATGCAAGCTAGGCCCAACACCATCCGGCCTAACCGAAGTTGAATTCAAAAAATCCTGAGAAGCACGTGACTCGGCACGAGGAAGGGCAGCTGTCTTCCGCTCATAACGGGCATCATTTCTCCTCCAACCACGTGTTCCAGACGCAGCCTTCCCACTACCACTCGCCTTAGGCGCGTGGCGGTTCACACGTCCCTGACCTTGAGCCCGGCTTTTCTGCACCTCCACCTTTTGGAAATCCGGCTTAGGTCCAACCCCACCTCCATGCCTGTATGACAAACGAGGAACGCTAGCCGACGCCGCAGGTGGGCCCAAATCACCTTTTCCGGAACATATCCCAGTCAGCGGAACCATGGTCAGATCAATTTCTTCAGATAACGAAATTTTGAACGCCCATCTTCCATCCTCCACAACTACACTCGCCGGAATCACTCCGCCGCCAGCCACAGTAAGCACAATTCTTTCCGTATCACTTATCTCGAAGGCCTCCACATCCTAAAAACCGCCACACGCCTCACCAATGGCAACGAAGAGCTTCTGACACCAAAGATGCAACGGCAGACCATACAAAATGACTCGCCGGAAGTTTTGCCTCGATCTCAATCGAGAACACCCGACCCTATAGTACCAGGGATCGATAAGAAGTTGAGCCTCACCCTAAGATTTCTTGCCCCAGTCCAGAACCTTATAAGCCTCCAACATCGACGGGAACCGGAACAACAAAAGCGCGTCCGGCAAAGAGTTAACCCTAACTCCTCCCGAAATCAACCAAGTCTTCGTAGCCCAATCTTCAATATTTTCCAAAGACCCCACCTCTCTGTCAAATCTCCCAACAAGACAAGCCCTAAGAACACGTTCACGAGAGGAAGTACTTAGATTATCCACACCCTAAACACATGATCCCTCGAGGAAGGAATCCGTTCCACCTCCCCTTTCAGATCCAGGCGAGGTAAGCGAGCAACCTCCAAGTAAGATTGTTTCTGACAATCAAGCACTTTCATGAGCAGATCCACGCAACAGCAAACCAAAAAACGAAGCCAACAGAGAGAGGGAAAGCAAAAAGGAAAGTGACAGAGGATTTCACCGGAGTTAATGATAATCAAGCACTTTCGAGTCTTATTTTTGGTCTGTTTGGCGTCGATTGGGTTATGCCTTGGGCTTCAAGGGATTTGATTAACGTTTGGAGGGGCCACAGGGTGGTGGCCCACGCTCGTGACTCTTGGAGGGCGACCCCTCTCTGTGTTTGGTGGAGTCTTTGGAAAGAGCGGAATATAATATCTTTTGATGAGGAGGAATCCTCCATTGGGGTGCTGAGATTTTCTATTATTAGCTCTCTTTTTAGTTGGGTGATGGGAAGAAATTGTATATCTTTAAATGAAATTGTGGATTTTTGGGTTCTTTGGGTTTATAGGACTCCTCTTTTGGCTTCGGCTTTTGCATAGCTCTTGGGATGCGTTCCAATTTTGAACGCTTTCTAATACACTTATATAAAAAAAATACTGACGGGTAATGACATTGATGGTATTGCTCTCTTAAAATCCCAATTGCAGCAACTGTTTGAGATGAATGATCTTGGTCCTCTGCATTATTTTCTTGGCATTGAAGTAGCTCATTCTCCTAAAGGTTATCTTCTTTCTCAGTCTAAGTATGCAATATATGTTATTCGCGGATCTCATCTCACTGATACTCGGATAGTTGAGACTCCCCTAGAGCTTAATGTTCATTATACCTCTATTGATGGTGTCCCTTTGGTTGATCCCACTTTATATCGAGTTATAGTTGGCAGTTTAGTGTACCTCACTGTAACTCGACCTGATCTTACCTTTGTTGTTCACATTGTCAGCCAGTTTGTATATTCTCCTACTGTTCACTGGGCTGCAGTTCTTCATATCTTGCACTACCTTCGAGGTACTTCACACCAGAGTTTATTATTTTCTTCTACATCAGCTTTGGAGCTTCGAGCTTTTTCTGATGCTGATTGGGCTAGGGATCCCATAGACTGGTTTCTGTCGTTTTTTAGGAGATTCTCTAATTTCCTGGAAAAGCAAGAAACAAGCAGTTGTTGTTCGCTCTTCTGCTGAAGCTGAGTATCGCGCCATGGCTGCTACTATTGCGGAGATAGTTTGGTTGCAATGGTTGTTTGATGATTGGGTGTTCCTTTCTTAGATCCAACACCTATGTACTATGATAACAAAGTGCTATTCATATGGAACATAATTTGGCTTTTCATGAGCGCACGAAGCATTTTCAGATTGATTGTCATTTAGTGCGCTATCATTTTCAGCTTGGCACCATTTCTGTCCCTTTTGTTTCTTCTTCTCTGCAGTTGGCTGACTTCTTCACAAAGTTACACACTATTATGCGTTTTTGTTTTCTTCTTGACAAACTCTCGATGCTTCTCACCGTCACATTGTGAGTTTGAAGAGGGAGAGAAGAGGGGGGGGGGGGGGGGGGGGGGGGGGGTTAGAGAGTTATTATATTTTTATTTTATGTTAGTAAGGGTAGCTTTGTCTTTTATTTTAGTTAGGGTTATTTCTTTATTACTTTAGTCTCTACTTTGTAATCAATTATTCTGTAATACAACAGACTCAAATTTTCTCTTATATTCTGATCGCACAAAACTTTAGAGAAATATGAGTGTTTAATCTTGTGTTACAGAATACTTCTTAATAAGGCGTTATTTGATGCTAATCCTATCAGATTCCATTGGAAATTATTTGGTTGAGAACATGTATTTAACGAATTGGCTCAAGTGTGCAAAATGATGCTTGATGGTATTATCTATGCCAGGGTTGAACTTGATTTTAAAAAACTAATGCATTTTCGAACACATGTATAATAGATAATGCAATTTAGTTTGGAGGGATGCAGTAGTACTAGTACCTTCCAGTAGTCATATATCCCTTTTAAATCTAAGCCGTATGCTTTTGAAATCATCTCAATTTTTTAGGTTCTTAATTCAGTTAAAATCACTTCTTTTTGAAAAATTCATAGTTCATAGTTCATAGTTGTTATTTCATTTTCTCTGTGCCGAACTCTGTTGATGCTATTGCTACACCTTCGCTTCTCGTTTTTCCTTGCAGGAAGCAGTGAAGCAGACGTATCAGAGAGCTCTCAAAGCAGCAGCTGATTTTGGTTATCAGAAAGAGAGTCCCGAGTAAGTGCTTATATGAGCCACCCCTTTGCCGCTGTTTGTGTACATCAAGCGCGGATTACAGTTCCATCAGTAAAAATTGCCTTATTCCCCTAATGGTTATTTATTTATTTATATTTTCCTAGTTTATACTCACATAGCCCCCCTCAAGGAATTGTTTGCACCCAAGAGGAGTCGAACCTTAGACCTGAGGCTTCATGAGGCACCAGGACCAAGTGACTTACCCACTTGAGCCAACCCCTTAGGGTTATTCCCCAATGGTTATTGCATATTAAAATTTTATGAAAATCAATTAGCCTCCCCAGAAATTGTGCCATTAAATTCCATCCAATCTTGCACCAAATCCATCCCTTTTGGCCGTCTTTTCTAACTCAAGCAAGTATTTTGTATGAATGTCTGTTGGTGAATAACATGGTGGTTCAATTGGATTTACTTTCCATTTCAGTTTCAATTTCAATTTCATTTATCATCACAACAATCTGACTTTTCATCCTATTTAAAACTGTGACTTTTCGACACACAAAAATTAATATTGATTTCTTAAAATGAAAAAAATCATCATAATCCTAGCCTTTCCAAGAAAAACGGGGTTGGTAACGTTAATTATTTCTTCCATTCTTTTCTATTACATGGTATCTCTCCTTCAGATCTAATTTCTTAAGGCTTCGTTTGGTTAGATAGAAATAGCATGAAAGGAAAAGTTGTGGAAAACTTTTCCAACACTATAAGAGTTTGGATAGCAAGAAAAGGAAAATTTTGAGGGAAGTAACTTTCCGTTACCACCTAATTCTCCCATAAATTTTACCTCCAAAAAACACAAGAAAATTTGCTTTCATGAGAAAATTATGTGAACTTAAAATTATGCCCATTTTTATCTTTCTAAATAAAGTTTTTTTATGCATGACTTCTTATAAGTATAAAATATAATGGTATGTATCTCTCTTTAAATCTTTATTAAGTACAATATTATGGTCTGTATCTTCTCTAAATGTTTAAAAGAGGACTATGTGAAGATGGCTGCCTTAACAGCACCAACTACACAAGAGAAAAGACAAAGTACAAGAAAAACTCAAAACAACATCTCAATATCAGAAATAAATAGTCCCATAGCTGGTTAAGCCTTCAAAACATGCTTCCATAGCCAGGAGGTGAGAATGATTAGTATTGCCCCCATGAATTCTACAATTTCTTTCATTCCAAATACTCCATAGAATAGATGTAAAACCAGCATTTCAGCAATTTATTTCTCACTGACTGACCCTTGGTCTGAGCCACAAATCAATTAATAACTTCAGAGAAGTGCAGCAAATTGAGAAAGCCATCCCCATATACTTCTGTCATAAGAGCACTTCCAGAAAATATGATCTCTAGAATCAGCATCTGAGAAACAATTATGGCATATAGCTGGCCCAACAAAGCCCCTCTTCCGGAGATTAAAATAAGAAGGAAAAGCATTATGAAGAATGAGAGCAGATTGGAATAGAATTCTAGGCCTGCAGTTATTCCAAACAAGACTGCACCATTGGACTGGTTCACTGTGATCCCTGCATACTTTCCGCACAGCCTGAATCAGCATGCTTCCATTTGATTTTATCCTCAGAACCTGAATCAGCATGTTGGCTCAGAAAATGACCAATCTCTGGAGGCCAGCTATTAGGAGTCCTCAACCATACAGAGATGGTATCTGTATAGTTGAAACCAGCAGAAAAAAAGTCTTTTCATTCCAAACGTTTGCTGTGAAGAGTGCCCCATTGAACCAAGGGTCATAGTACAAACTGAAGTCCATTTCCAATGGAAAAAAATAGGTGTTGCAGCATAAACTCTACTATTAAGGATGGACTTCCAAATAGCAGATTCATACACTTTAGCAGTCATGGTCCAAAAATGAACAGTATTACATACTAATCTCTGAACCATCTCACCCACAAATCTTCCTTAGACACCAAAAAATGCCAGGATAATACACAAGTAGAGGAAAGGTTAATGCTGCTGAAACTTCTGATCCCCATCCCACCCTCATTCTTAGGTAAGTTCATTTTATCCCAAGCCATCAGAGATCTTTTTTTGTCAGGACTCCCACAGAAAATTCCTCACCCTCCTTTCAAACCCCCCCCCCCCCCCCCCCCCCCCCCCCCCCTCTTCCGCGGGATAGAAAAGACTGCTGCCCAAAAATAATAATATAGAGATATAACTGTCTTTATCAACTCTAATCTGCCAGCCATAGAGAGGTTAAAAGAGCTCCAAGAATTAAGTTTAGAATTCACCTTGTCAGGAAGTCCTAAACGGTGAATTCCTTTCGGTCTTCCAGCCACCAAGGGGAGCCCTAGATAATGAACAGGAAGAGAGCCCTCCCTAAATTTCAGAACTCTCAAAATGCTTCTCGTTCTTCGAACTGAATTTTAGAAGAATGTCAAACTCTTGTCAGCATTTACTTTCAGCCCTAAGATATTACTAAACTCTTCAAACAAAGCATTCAGATTTTTGGCATTCTTCACTGAGGCTTTAAGGATAAGAAACAAGTCATCTGCAAAAAAGCAATGAGAGATGGAAGATCCCACCATCCTAACAGAATCACAGAGATCCAACAGGCCTGAGGTCACAGCTGCATTTATGATTTGGGTAAAACAATCTGTGACTGAACAAAAAAGTAGGGGAGAAAGAGGGCAATTCCGTCTCCCTCCTTGCTGAAAAGATATCCACAGGCACCCCATTCACACAGAGTAATGGACTGAAGACACACACTGCATCACCCAAACACTCCAAGTATCCCCAAAACCATACCTGAAGAGAAGATTATGAAGAAAAGTCCATGAAATGGAATTATAAGCTTGGCAAGGTCCTCTTTGAAGGCCATGGATGGTTTAACAACTTGGAAGTAAATCCCTTCAAAAGGGCACGAGCCAAGATGACATTACTATGTATTCTCCTGCCCTTTATAAAAGCAAATTGTTCATACCCTACCACTCTAGAAAGGACAATAGACAACCTATTTGCAAGGATTATGGAGATAAATTTATTAGTTGAATTACATAAAGCAATAGGCCTGAAATCCCCAAATTCTTTGGAATCAGAGAAATGAATGTGCCTCAACTCCAAGGGGAAGAGAGCAATTGGAGAAAAAGAATTGGAACAGCATTCATCACCTCCTTACCCACAATATTCCAGAACTTTTGAAAGAACCTATTAGGAAAGCCATCAGGCCCTGTAGCTTTATCAGGGCCTACAGCCATCACCACACCCTTAATTTCATCCTCAGTAACTGCCACAGTCAGCATATACCTTTCTTTAGTTCCAACCACACACCTAAGATTGAGATCGTTTGGAGAAGAAGTAGGGATAACACCATACATATCAGAATAGAACTCACCAGTCCACTGTCTAATCATCATCTGATCTCTAGACAATTCACCATTAGCATTCTGTAAAAGAGAGATTGAATTAAAAGCCCTCTTATGATGCATCTTCTGATGAAAGAACTTGGAACATTATTTGTGATGTTGTGGCCCGAATTTGGTGCCGGGTCGCAACAAAAATTTTGACCCTTTTTGTTCATGGGCCGTGGACCCTAATTAGTACTCCCTTATTGCTCGATATTTAAGGGCGCTTAGGGTTTTGGATTGTGATAATCAAGAGACACTGAATATCGTACAGAGAGAGTGGGGCTGAAACTTGTATTCTTCGATTTTTCACATAGTGAAGACTTTCGCCGGATCTCCACCATGGACGTAGGTTTTGCCGAACTCGTATAAATTTTTGTGTTCTTTGTGTGGTGTGTTTATTTTTCTGTCGTGTTTCGTAATTGTTGCTTGGTTCGCTGCGTTTGTCGTAACATATATCATTATCCCTTAATCAAAGAATTCTGGACTTTTGAGCCAGCATGACCTCCTCCAAACCCAATGCAGCCTCCAGCCCCTGCTTAGCCAAATATTCACTACCGATGAGGCCTTCATCCAGAGGGTTAATCTGTTCTCTAAGCTGTATGTCACTTAATTTCCCTCTACACTTCATTACAGCTTCAGAAGCAAAAGGCCTGGACTTATTCCATTTCCTCATATTCTCCATGACTAGCCTCAATTTCTTTGTAAGATGATGAAAAGGTGAACCTTGAACTGTAATTTGCCAAGATTCTGCCACAATACCAGACATCGCTTCCATCATACCACCACATTTTATAGAAATTTTTTTTTTGATAAGTAAAAGTGTATTAGAAAGCGTTCAAAAGGGGAATCCATCTCGAGAGCTATACAAGGGCCAAAGCCAAAAAGAGAGTCCTATGGACCCAACGAACCAAAAAAATCCACAATTTCATCTAAAGATGTATAATTTCTCCCCATCACCCAATTAAAAAGAGAACTAATAATAGAAAAATGGAGGATTCCTCCCCATCAAAAGATCTTCTATTCCACTCTTTCCAAATGCACCACCAAACACAAAGGGGAGTCTCCCTCCAAAAATCACGGGCATGGGCCCCACACTGTAATCAATCAAATCCCTTGGAAGACTGAAGCACAACCCAATGAACACTAGACAGACCAAAAATAAGACTCCATGAGCCTCGTGGCAATGCAAAAGAAGGTGATTCACGGACTCTCCATCATTTTTTGCACAGAAAACACCAGTTAATCTGTCTTCTCTTTCTCAGATTGTTCAAAATCAAAATTCCAAACAAAAAAGGCCACCCTGAGAGGAGCCTTCGAGCGCCAAACCGTCTTTCACGGGAAGTTGGAACCATGAATCCCGGAAAGGCATAGGGACAAGGAACGGGCCTCAAAAGGAATCTGAACTTGTACCATCCACCTCTTGTCTATACAAAAGGTCTAGCAGGCCATAAACATCGTTCCAGCTCCCAATTCTGAAAGGGTCGCCGAAATCGCGTGTCCCAAGTAAAGCCTACCGCTATCAAGACGATAACTGTCTGCTACCAAAACTCCAAAGTAAGCCTACTGCTATCAACAGCAATCCTGAAAAGTCTTGGGAACGAATAAGACAACAACAGGCAATCA